AATAATAGTTTAAAATAAATAAATAAATACATATAGTAATTGTAAAAAAAACTACTTAGCCCAGAAAAGACGATCAAGACCTGCTGTTTGTTTCTATCAGTTCTTTGCTTTTTACGATTTGCAAAACAAACTTGAAATTGTTAACATTTTATACTACATTATGGCTTAGAGAAAACTTTTTCTTCTACAACTTATGCAATGAATATTTTTAAACCCACACACATGCTACAATACTAAGTGGGTGCCACCCTGACAAGGCTAGTCCACAGTTTGTCTGGCCAAATAAAAATGACCCGTCCTTTTGGTAATTTTGTTTACCATTTTCCTCGCTATTTTGCTTTGGTTCATGGCCAATTTTTATCATTAATCTCATATATTGCCCCGTTATTTACGATTATTGTTTTGTTTACCATATAATTGCATATTTTATAGTTGGCAAAAGAACTAAAACATAGTCAAGTTTATGGCAAATTAGTTGAAAACTTGAATTTATGGACCAATGAAATAAAAACTTTATAATTGCATTAAAAAAATTTGCATAAATGACAAAGGCACAAAACATGAAAAAAGTGCGACTAAAAGTTATCAATTAAAAGTTATTCGATTAAATTAATGATTACGTTTTTTTTATGAATTCTAATCATGCTGGGGGTGTAAAATGTTTTTTAAAGTAATCCGTATTTAAACATTTAAAGAGTATTTTGGAATAAGTAAGCCATCGATAGATAAGGCGTTAGATGCAGCTCAAACATTTGCAAAACATAACTAATTGGAAACATGATTAATATTTCAATGTTATATAGGTTTTTCAGAGCCCAAAAAATTTGATTAGGTAGTAATATTTCTAAAACTTTATGTAATCTTTTCTTTTCATTAAGAAGTAAGTGGAATATCGGCGATAGTTTCTGTTCTAAAACATTTTTTAAATTCAGGAAATATTTATTCTTATAGTGTCGTGCTCCTGCAAGTTCGTTGATTTTTATATTTTTTCGTTTGTTTTCTTAAGTCTAATAATAAGTTTATATTAACTTTTAACTATCATTTTTTAAAACAATTAATAAGTATTTTGTCAACGTAATTATTGAATATAAAAGAAAATAGGCACAGAATAGAAAATTGTAGACTGTGTGCTACCAAAAAGATACAAAGCAAGAATTTATAATAATAATAATAATAATAATAATAATAGGAAAAATTAATGAAGAAATAAAAGCAAAAATAAGACTTATTGGCCAGATAAAAATACAATACAATGGCTACAAAAAGAGGTTTTAGAAAGGAAATGCGCCAAAGCAAGCAGCTTTTCAAAAGAGGGGTTAAAAAATTAAAATTTTGATTAAATAATGCACGAGTCGTTTAAATAAGAATTCAGTCATAAAAATAACTTCAATAAATCCAACTAAGTTTCGTTTTAAGGCGAAACGTATATATTTATTTGTGAACCTCTATTTATCTGTGAACCTAAACAAAGGCGCATTATTGGGCAACAAAAAAGCCCCCCCACTAATATGGAAAGAATATTATGCATTACAACAAAATTTGCTTGAGTGAATATATGTCGTCGATTCTTACGACTTCTGTCCATCAACGTGCGATATGTGTGTGTGTGTGTGTGTGTGTGTGTGCGTGTGCGTATCTAATGGATACATAATAGGATTTTGCAATTAGTCTGCTTGTGTGTTGGTGGGGTGGGGAGTGGAATGTGAATGAGTCGCAACCGCAGCGCGCACTTGGCTAATTAACCCAAAAAAGGCAGTCAGGGGCCATCATCATCATCATCATCATCATCGGCATCGTCATCATCATCATCATCACGTGCCATTTGCAGGCCAGCAACAACAATAACAACAACAACACGAGGAAAAATGTGGATGGCAACATGGTCGAGTTTTTGTTTAATGTCACTTTTATTTATTGAAATTAGTTTTAGCATTCATTATGCGTGTGTGTGAGTGTCTCTCTGTTGCTTCTGCCTGGAGCTGCTTTTTGTCAGTTTGACATGCTTTCATTTTTATTTCCCCTGCACTCCTACTCCTACTCCTACTCTGACTTGCTCCTTTGCAAAGGATGACATTTTGCGGCACATGCGTAAAAATTAATTTCATTAATTTGAAACATAAACTTTTTCCGCCTCGTTGTAAGTATGTACAAGTATATATGTATGTATGTGTGTGTCGCTGCAGAAATTCAATTAAATTTATTTCAACTTTTACTGGCAGTAACAACAACAACAAATACAACAGCAACAACGGCATACGCCTTCAGGGTAAGCTCGTGACGATGATGGGAACGATGCGATGATAATGATTATGCTTGTGATCATGATGAAGTTGGCTGGGCACATTGCTTTTGATGTAACTGACCCAAATCGCGTTATATAGTATTCGTGTATTTATTCCTTCCTTCGTTCCTTCGTTCGTTCGTAAGTTCATTCATTCAACGGGGTTTTCCCTGCTGCTTCTTAGCCTTCTTTTTTAGCCTCGCGTCCGGCTGGCTTCCTTGTGCCTTTTCGTTCTATCTTTGTCAAGACTTGACTTTTTTCTTGCTCTTGCTATTATATTCATCTTGTTGCTGTTATTTGTTGTTGTTGTGCTCATTCATTTGCCTCATTTTGCAGCTTGCACTCGCAGCATCCTTTTAATCCATGGCTCGTTGACTTAAACATCTTCGTAGAAGTGGTAGTTGCTATTGCCATTTTCTGGCCAGCCTTTTTTTGGGCTACTGGGCTGTGCTGTGCTGTGCTGGCTTCTGGTCACGTGCCACGGCCAGAAATTATAAATGCAACGTGTGTAGCAGAATTGTGCAGTTTGTTTAAGCACAAAACGGTTCGGAAAACGACTGCTGATCAACATCAAATGCTTTCAATTAAATTATTTTATTGCACCAAATTTCATTTGTTCTTCAAACCAGCTTCTGGCCTATAATGGCTTAAAGAGCTCCCTATTATGCTCTGATTTGTCACGTACCTTTAATTAAAGGTGCAACATTTTAGCTAAATTGTCATAATGCGAGCGCTTTCACTTTTTTCATCAATAAAATACAAATAAAGAACAGAACATATTTTGAATTAAAATTTTAGCATTTATAATTATATCCAGCTATTTGAATTATTAATTATTTAGCTAATAATTCTTTAGCTCATTCACATACATCGTTTTACAAAAGAATTCATTTTCAATAAAAAAAATAATAGCATTTTTGACTTAGCTTCTAGGATAAAATACAAAAATTTTCTAGGAGGCTCTAAGGCATATATCCCAAATCTGGTGTTGTTAATATATATCATTTATTTGTTCGAGCATTTAAGTATAGTTTAACAAGCCAGCGGGAATCTAGAAATGTTAGTTGGTTCCAGAGTATCTTCTCTGAGTTCGGTCTAAGCTACAATCATTATGAATCATCAGAAGCATGATGGAAGTCACGAGTTCTCATAAAATTTACTAACTGTCCCACCCAGAACAGAATTTAAATAAAGAATAAAACATTTTTCTATATTCAACTAAAAGGTTTTGTCCATGCCAGTACAAATCTTAAATAAAGTATAACACGAAGAAAGAAAGAAATATTTTTGTATATTCTATTAAAAGTTATTTGGTGATTAAAATAGCCCTTCAGTACATGCTATATATATAGGTTATCAGCAGTCATTAAGCTGTGGTGATAATTACACAGTATTTGGCAATCGACGCGACGGTAGGCTGAGCCCTTGGTCTGTGGGTTGAGTTGTTGCCTTTAGTTTTTGCGCTCCAATACACATTAATTGGCTTCTGGATAAACACATCCTTTGACTCTTTAGTAGCGATGGAAATCTTTGCTTAATTTCCTTTCGCAGGAAATTAATTGTAAATTTGTTTATTGACAATTTGAATGGCATTGCGAGTGCGAGTGCACACATGCATAAATTATTGTCGAAATATGTTAAATGTGAAATGCTAATGACAAAAATCATCATATTTATCGTCACGGTTAAACAAACTGTGCAATTATTTATGCAAATTGCAGACAGCTGCATTAAATGTCATTCATTGACCTCCTCTAGCTGTACGGGAATGGTATTATTTGTGGCACAGATTGCAGCTCTATTTTTGACTAAAATGATTTCGTTTAGCTGTGGAGTTTGCAAAAGAAGCTAAGCCATATGCTGTGTTCTGATGCTGTCTGTATTTATATTTTTTAGTGGTTTGGGGAAGAGGAAATTAATTTTGTTTTTAAACTATATTTTTAATTTGTATTTAATAAGTATTAAAATATTCGACTCACATCGGTTTGCTTAAGGATTTATTGTTATATGGGGGAGAGCTTTAAATTTATTTTCACATAGAAGATCGCGGCCGTCTGATTTTTTTCACTTCACTCCACAGAATGCATTTTTTTTGTCACTTAGAAAATGTTGTAATTACAAAATGAAGGTGATAACAAAGAGACTAAAGAGAGTATACCCGTTGGACCTCCTCCCAAAAAATATTAAGTTAATTACCTATCCGCTCTTTTATCCATTTGATCAAAAAACGCTTTATTGCATTATCTAAAACAAAATTTCTTTAACTCCACTGCATTATTTTTCGATGAAAAAATAAATAAATAAATAAACATTTCTTAAAATCCACTTTAAAAAAAATATGTATATACTAAAAAGACTTCATCCGTTAGACCTGCCCCTAAATAAGTATATTAATTTTATTACCTATCCTTCTTTTTATCCATTTTATTAATAAACGCTTTATTGCATTATCTTAAACATCTGTTATATACTAAGAATAAGACATAGCATTCATAAATATATGGCTAAAAAAATATATATTGAAAATGTCAAGGTATATAGTATAAGTATTCACTGATTAGATCAAGAAATATATATTATTGATATACTTTTATAAATTTAAGTAATTTATTTTCAGCAATATGGAGAACTTACTCATTATATACTTTTATAAATTAATTAATAATTTATTTAATTTATAAATGAAATTAATTTCTTAACAGCAATATGGAGAACTTACTCATTATGTGGTATATCCTCGTCCTGTTCGCCGACTGCCCCAAATATGTGCATTTTGAATATGAATATGCCCAGCAGCAGAGCCAGAAAACAGTTGAAATGTTTGCGCTCCATTTTGTAGCAATATCTGTTAAAATCTGTTGTATATTTGCTTTTCTACTTTTGTTGTTTTTATTTTCGTTTCTGCGTTTGTTTTTAATTTTTTTTCTCCGTGCTGTGCTGTGCTATCACTTGCAATTCGACACTCAATGAATGCAGAGATGCTGATTCTATTTATTCTCTCAATTTACTTTTTGCATTTGCAATTTATAATTATTTATTTGTCGGTGTGTGTGAGCGATTAAAGCCACAGGCGGACAATAACAAAAGCACGCCAATAACGCACACGTGAATTTTTAATTGTTTTTTGTTTCTATTGACATTCTTGAACAGCACGAAATTTTAATTAGGTATATTTTAATTTTCAACTCTGCAAGCTATTTTCATTTAATAACCATATACACGCATTATTGATTGTTGATTATACCAAGTAGTTAGTGCTTTCCTATTGTTTTGTATGACGACATTTTTGATGCTGGCCGAAATTGTTTATTAATTTAAAGTTTTTATTGGGCTTGGGGCGAATGCGTACCACCATTGTTACAATGTGTCTCTGTTCTGGATAATTATTTCAGTTATTCAAGCTGTAATGAGAATTGATTAAAGAATTATATATTAATTAAACGAGCGATTATAATTATAAAGAGACGAGAGAGCGGGAGAGAGAGCGAGAACTTATGTTCATATGACTATTATTAGATTAGAAAAAGCAGAAATAATACACAATTTGCTAATATTTGCTAATATTTGATTAATTTGTACATTTTGTGAAGTTTTAACCCTTCTGTGTCCATAAAACAATTTTAATTATTTATACGCTAAATTTTTTGCCAGACCAGGACTTCTTCTAGTCGTTTACTATATTTAGAAAAAGTTTTTTAATAATAAAAAAATCTAGCAATCAATCAATTATTTTTGTTGTTAAATATTGCTCATTCTGTGCAAAATTTTTCCTAAAAACTACAATTTTCATCGATAATATACAAGTATGTAATATTCAAACGTAAAATGGTGCCTGTGGAAGGATAAAATTTTCAGTAAAAAGGACAATATAGGATCACAGTGCCTTTACGTTCTCTTTAGTAAGACTACTCCTCACATTATAATAGTATAACTTGGCTTGAAAATAATGATAATACTAAACAACAAAAGCCAGAAACTTATAATCAAGTGCCCCGACTTTGAAATACTCTGTATATATATGTAGAATAATTATAGAAATTAAAAGAATATTTTCTGATCGATTTTCCCTCCCTTGGTAATCGAACTCACGTAAAGAGAGGTTCTCAAGAGGTTCATCTGTTATACATAGTATGAATTGTTTTGGGCTATCATAATTTGATATAGTATGCAAAGAATTGAAACTCTAAATATCAAGATTATGTCAAATAGTTCAATTTTTGGAATGATTTAGTCTTATGGAAAAATTCGAACGAAGCACATCACAAAATTGTGTACACAGCAAAATTAATATTTTAGTTTGTGTGTTTTTAAGTAATTTACACATAGTTGTTATATTTATTTTACAATATCCGGACAATGCCCGGAGTAACACTAAGTGGTGAAAGTATTGACTCGGAGAACGGGGAATGTCATGACAGCCAATCAAATGTTGATGACAAAGTCTCGAAAGTTGAATCCAATGAAGGCGAAACGCGCGACGAGGCAGAGGCTGAGAAAAATGATATCTGTCCATATCGAGAGGGCGTAGAGATGAAACTACAACCCAAGGCAGTCAGGGTGGCATATATGAACTACTTGCGGGACTATCAACACTATTTTCGCCAGCTCGATGGCAGGGATATGTTGAAAAATGCAGCAATATTGTGGAATAAATTGAACGATAGCCAGCGGAAGCTCTTTAACGATGTAAGCCTTTCAACTATTAACATATATAAATAGGAAAAAAACAAAAAATGTATATTTACAGGAAGATTATGAGTATGGAAAGACGATGCACATGTTATACGACAGCAGCAGCGGTGAAAACAAGGAAGAGAGCGGAAGCGATGGGAATGAAGAGGGAAAAAAGGACGTAGAAAATAGTCAGGTTACTGATGAGAATTCATATAGTAATGTGTTTTGTCAGCACAAGCAGTTCATCGATGGTTGTTGTCCGGTTAAAAGGAAAAAACCAGCTTGCAGGAAGAAACCGGCATGCCCAAAAAAAAGAAAGCCGCGATGCCCCAGACCAAAACCGCGTTGCCCCAAACCCAAGCCGAAATGTCCTAAAAAAAGAAAACCCCGTTGCCCCAAAAAGAAGAAGCCACGTTGTCCAAAACCAAAGCCGCGTTGTAAGCCCAAAAAGAAACCGGCTTGTAAGCCATGCTGTGGATAATAAACGACATAGATGCTATCAGAGTGAATAATGTAATGGCTAAGCTAGACCCTCGAAAACTTCTATTCAATTCTATAGCTATCCCCAACATATTTTAAAGTTCTAAGTGGTGAAGTTTTTAAAACCTAGAGACTTAAAAAACTAACTGCCAATTAATGCTCAAAACTGCAGTTGAATTAAAATCTCATTATAAAACCACCAGCATATTATATTAATTTCCAAAATAAAAGAACTTAAGCTAAGTTAAAATAGTTTTTCAAATTTTGGGAATTGTCGCCAAGCCACATCGATATTGGTTTAAATCATTTCTCTGGTTATATACGAGTATATCTCTTTTTGCATTTTATAAGTTATTTGTTTGACAAACTTTTAACTGCCATTACAATTGATAAAAAGTTATTTGCGAATTAGCTCCAGTTTGTAATTGCAATTCGTTTTTGGCAACAACAGCAACAACAGCAAGAGAACTGAAGAAGAAACTTTTTCAAAACCGAACCAACTTTTGTTGAACCATAATGAAAATTCCGTTCGTTGGGAACATTTGTAATATGCCTCGGGCTATAATACTACATTTTCCATTCTCTGACTGGTTGGCTATTGAGAAGAGAAGCGCATGTGAATTTGACCTAGAAATGCGTTTGAAGCACACACGCATAAACATGCCGATGCATATAAGTCCACAAACACACACACACACACACACACGCACACACACAGAAAACAGAAAACAGATGCCCATGCGCTACGCATTGCTCAGCTCATATTTCGAACTCGAAACTCACATAAAATTGGTGTGTGTGTCAGTGTGTGTGTTTTTTTTCAGTGGGGGAGCGTGCACATGCGCAGTGATGCTTCATAAGTGAATTCCCTATGCCCTGCTGCTCGCAGCCTTTGCCAACAGTTTTTTGTATGAGCATGCCACCCCCAAGCAAAAGGAGGCAAAAATATTGTACATATATGAAGCATACCAAAGGGCGCGCATTGCCATGCATGTGTACGTGTATGTGTGTGTGATTGTGTATGTATGGTGGCGACACACTCCCCAAGGATATCGCGTAATAATTTTCATTAAACATGGCACAGAAATTTACGCACACATACATACAATAGCAACAACATGTACGTTGACAAATAATGCAATACAAAATAAATCCAAAACATAACCAATAATAATTCAATAAGAAAGAAAAGAATAATATTGTTGTATACCAAAATAAATATATAAATATATTAATTAAAGTTGTAATGAAAAATACAGAGTAATCGATAATTGCTTCTCTATTCAACATAGTACTATAACCATTAATGAATCCAATTTAATCCAAAGAAATACCTACATAAATGTATTGAAATGAAAAAGCAGTTTGCAGTAAGTAGAGAAGATAACTTAAAAATAAAAACTGGTTCTGTCATTTAAAAAATTATCCTCTCTGGAAATAACTGCAAAGATATGAAATCAGTAGAGCGAGCAATGCAAGTAATTTATTAAGAGAGCTCGGTCCCTTGAAGTGGAATATGTCCCTAAAGTTATATTTAATAACATGATTTCTTCAAACTTCGACTGACTCTTACAGAAGACATATAATTAAAATAAAAAAAATTTAATTAAAGAAAGTTTTAAATAATGTAAGAGTGTTGGTTCCAAATGGGGTGTTAAAGTAGTATAAGATGCTTTCTAACTTTCTTAATTATATTGTTTGGACAGCGTAGAATGTAAGGAAGAGAAGGACCTTCTTGGTTACTGTCCAGCACTGAACATGCCCAGGCTCTTTGTTTTATGGCAACCCTATCTAAACGATCTCACAGAAATGCCAAAACAGAAGATAGCTCCGAGTAGACCTATTAAAAAGCAAGCACATTGAATTCAGGCCTAGGTGATTGAACCAAAATCCTATAACTAAGGGGCGGACAAAGATAACTGCCCAACTCGTTTTTAACTGTTTAGAAAAGTTTAAAATTAAATGTTATATTATATTTATATTTATTGAATATTGTTTATTTTATTTTATTTATTTTATGCCGTCAAACAAATGCAGTCGTCATAGGTAAGACAAAATAAAAATCTTAGTAGGCCAAATCAAATTAAATTAAATTATAATAATTATAATATCCCTCAAATCTGTCCCAAAAGCGAATAAATACATTACATATTTGAAAAGAACGTGAAGTTAGAAACGACATTTTACAAAATTAAATAAAATACTTAAAAATATGAGATGATCGAACTACAAAAAATATAAGTTCTATTCAAATTTTCGCAATATTTAGATTGAAGCGGTACATTGGAGGTCAGCAGTGGCTTTTTAAGAAATCTGGCAGAATATCTTGTAAGTTGAAACAATGCTGCTTAAAATAACTTTTTAGGTGTACAAATCAACACTTTTCCAAATTCCAAGCAGGGATTGTTTCAAAGCAAATCGGTAAATTATCGGGAAAATAAAATGGCGCTCCATTTCATATTGTTTTGATTAAACTTTAAACACATCATTGCATTGCACATAAAATAAGTTTTATCTGACATCTGTTGCCACTTCGAGGCTCTAAATTGAATGAGTTGAGAAAAATGACGATTAGTTTAAATAAACATTTCGATGTGTTCGAATACATATAGCAGCTGGTGTGTATGTGGCATACATATTTGCGGCCAGCACATACATATCTTTCCCATGCACATCCGCATGAAATAAAGACAATTTATTGTGGAGGATACGCATCCACACACACACACACATGCACATGCTGTAGCTGTGCCTTTTGTGCCGCACGATTTCACACGTTTTTTGTCGCTGTTCTGTTGCCTATTTTATAATTTTTCTTTTACTTTACGTTTTTTGTTGTTGCTGCGCACATCAAAACTTTGACAGAAGTGGAGCGGCGCGCCCCACAGACCACCGCACTTAAAGGATGCTGCTGCTGTTGCTGCTGCTGCCCGCCTAAAAGCATGCAACACATTCAAAACGCTCTGCTGCCCATTTAGCTACACACACACACACATTTGTATCTGTATGTGTAGTACATATACTCGTATGGTCGTATCTTTTCTACTTGCTTTTAAAAATCAGTTGGCTGGTTGCTTTTTTTCTCTGCTCGCCATATAATAGTCATAATAATAATAAAAGCATGTGCAACATGGCGTATACGCAACGCTGCTAGCTGTGGCTGCCACATTGCCACAACCGTTGTTAAAAGTGAAAGTTTATAGTTTGGCGCACGTTCATAAAGTTTTGCGTGTTATACAAAAGATTTATTATATCGCATATATCGTGTGAGAGTTTTTTCTATTATTATTTCGTTTCGTTTCTTTTCTTTTTCTGTTTTTTTTTTTGCTGCCACTTTTTGTTTGCTTTGCCTTTGCCTTTTTCACTTTTTTTCTCTGGCTTGTTTTCTTTTTTTGCTGTTGTTGTGTTGTGTTTTTGGTTTGTTGTGGTGGAGCCAAAGGCATAGCAACAACAACAATAACGTTGCGACAAAATATCAAATTTGGCCTTGGGAGTTTCGGTAATGGAATTAATGTGCTTGTGAAAATTTCAATAGGCAACATGAAAAGTTTTGCCCATGAGTGTGTGCGTGTGTGTGTGTGTGCTCGTATAATAACATAAATTTTTGATAACTTATAAATCTGCCCGACTCTGAGTGTTTTGACAAATTTATTGCTCAGCCTTTTTGCAAATCAAATGTTGCGTGCTTGCTTCATGATGCGATATTATGAGCACTTGGAATACGCTTAGACTGAGCGAGATTTTGAAAAATGTATTAACCCATCTATAAATAAATATAACACACAGCGTATTTTTAAACTAAAAATAATATTGTGGATTAACTTAATGAGATCATAATGCTTTTCAATAGTTGCAATATTTCTTTAAATATAATTATTTTAGTAAACTGAATATTTGTTTAATGTAAAGCAACTCCAACGATTAAAAGTTTTATAATTTTTTAAACAATATTATGGATTTACTTAATGAGATGATAATGCTTTCAAATGATTGCAATTTTTTTTGTTTATTATAAAATATTAATATAAATATTTTAGTTAACTGAATATTTGTTTAATGTACGGCAACGCCAACCGTTAAAGACTTTGCACTTTTTAAACAAATAGTTTCAATATTTCTTTAATTGAATTATTTTAGTTAAATGAATATTTATTTATTTAAAAGAAAAATTATTTTTAGGATTTTATTGAATGTTAAAGAGTTTTAACAACAAAACAATACAGAGGCAAAAAAGCCTTGTCTTTAAATACTTCTTAAAACCCAATCAATGTCAAAAATAGTGATCTGATCCAACGTTTCAGGGCATTCCGTTTCCAATATTTAATTTGGACTGCACCGATATTAGATTATAATTTCATTTATCTATTTTCAAAAATCCAATTAAATCCGTATTTTCTTATTATCTTTTTTAAATGTATGGTTTTACAATTGATGTTTGTAATGTCCTGCTTTGAAAAACCATTGCTATTATTTACAAAAATGCAAAGGCTAATTTTGCCAGCATTTTATTTTATATTGAACACAACTTAATTCCTTATATTCCTTATATAATATTCTTTTACTTATATTTATTTATACCTCATAAAACGAAAAATATAAGTGCGCCTGTACGCGGCAACAACTTCAGGCAGACTCCCTCGATCAATGTTTATACATACATATGAAAATTAGAAAGGGCCCTGTCAGCTTAATTTCACATTTTTATTATTTTGGGTAAATACTTATATTCAAATAAGAAATTATTAATAACATTTCACAACGCATTGAGTATTGCCAACAGATTAAATTGTGCTTAAAACATTGCTTAGAATATGTATTTATATTAGAAGCACAGTTAAACACTGAGAAATGTTTTTAATCTTGAATATGGAACAAAACAATGAAGGCATTTGAAATAATTACATATATTGTCAACTCGAACGACTTCTCTTTTTTTTAATTATGGTATAAATTAAAAATAAATTAACGAACCATAAATGAATAACCATAATTATTTGACATTATTGCATTGCAACTTAAGAAACTTTCATTTGATTTAGTTTTTGTGGGGAGAGTGGCAATAAGTTATTGCAGTCCTACTTTTCTAGAACTGTATTCCATTTTGTAATGAGTTTATTGCCGCACATTCAATTCGTAGAAAAAACGATTTGTTAACTAGCCACACACACACATTTCACCAGAAAAACCAGCAACAAAAAAGCAAGCCATTCAAATTGTTTGCAAAGGCTTTAGTATCAAGTGATGCACTCACTTGTGGCAGAGCTGCTGGCTAAAGGAGCTGCAATCAATTGAGGTGGAGGGGACATGCAACAAGAAACAGATATGCCAGCGCACAAACAAACATTAATGCTGCGGAAGCCACGTTTGAAGGACACGACACACACACACGCATACACATTTCCAAGAGTGTGACTAGAAGGATGAGCACAGCTCAAGGATAATCAAGATGCTGTTAGCAAAACTTTATACAAAAGGCGTACTATGTTCGCAGATACACACACACACACACACACACACACACACACAAGCGTACAGTGATTTATAAATGCCTTTTGGTTAATATCTATGTGTGTATGTATGGGTGGCGAAGGGCTTAAAAAGTGGGTGGCTGGCTAGCTGGCTGCTTGGTTGGTTCGTTATAGTGCTGGTCAAGCTTTTTGAGATTTTACGCAGCTGCGTAAAGCTGCGTAGTACATAAGAGGTTGCATGGCACGATAAACCGTTATTATGTACCAGACGACCTCTATATGTGTGTGCATGCGTGTGCGTGTACAAGCATATATATAAAATGTGTGTGTGTGCGTGTTACGGCGTGCGTATGCGTACGAGTAGTAGTAAAAATTCTATAGCATACTTTTTGGGCGCGCAAACAAAATACCATTAATCAACAATTTATATGCAATAATCGTATGTATATGAGACATAAATATGACTTGTACTTATATTTATGTTATTTATAAACATTTGATAGTACCCTTTCTACACTCTAATGTTATTCGTCGTTTTATTTATTACTTTTTGCACTTTTTATTGTGCAATCAAATGCGCTCAACTTGTCGCTCTCTGCCTCTCTCACTAACTATCGCCTCTTTTTCTCTCCTCCTCTCTCACGTTCTGGCAGTATTTCTCTCTCCATCCTTTCCCCAATCCACTTACTTTGTGCGCGCCAATTTCGCCAGCAAACAACGTACAGTACTTTTGAGCAACAACAACAAATTTTTTTGCTGGCCGGCCTTAGTTTTACTGCTTTCTTTTTTCTTCTTTTTTGTTTTTGTTGGAATCAGAAAGGCGCGTCTCAATGTGCAGCGAAGCGCATAGAATTTGCCGACATAACACACACACACACGCGCACGCCACACTTTTTACTATAAAAACGCCGACGCACGAGCAACAACACGAAGTCGACGAAGAAGCGAGAATAAACGACAGGGCGGCGAATACTTTCGAAAATGTCGTCAAAATTGCTGAGAGCGAAGGATTTATAAGGCTGCGCTGCTACGGCTACGGCTGCTCTTCGGCATTTTTGGCGCTCACAAATATTGTACTACTACACACATATATACATATACATAATATATATAAATATATATATATGCATGTATAAATATATATATATATATATAATTTTTTTCTACATTTGGATTCTAAGGAATTGTGGTGTACAGAGATTTTCAAATTCGTTTTGAAAACGGTTGGAAGTTTTGTTTATTTTTTTATAATAATAATTAAAACTTTCTTTACGAAAATTCGCAAACGCTTAGTTGAGAAATTAATTAATTTTGTTTTTTAGTTGGCTTTTAATTAAACTTCTGAGCTGATTGTGATTTTTCACTTTCAATGCATTTTAAATATGCAGCTTTCTCACTTTATAACTTGTCATATACTCGTATTTTTTTGAAAATTAATTTTCCGCAACTCTGTTGTTTGATTTTGGTTTTATTTCCTTAAAGGCGTTGCATTCATTTTTGTTATTTTACATTTTAGTGGCTTTGCCGTCGCGTTAATTTTTCATTTCAGTTTCGCGAAAGACACAACCAAACTCGCGAGATTCACGCACCGAACTGAGAACACATTTTCTATTCTTGGGGGAGCAGCTCGCAATTTCGAAACGCCTGTATGTATATACGTATGTACATGTACGTGTGTGTGTGCGTGTTTTACGCGCTCGCTTTTGTTGCGCCATTCGTGGACACCACGCGCGCATTTCTTGGGGGTAGGCTGTTGGCGTTGCCAGCTTCAACTTTTATTTTGGGGCTGTCGCCAAATTCCTACATTTACGATTCCAAATGCAGGGATGCAAGACAAATCGAATCGGTTCAAGTCTTGACTTGGCTAGAGTGGACACAAACGAGTTCCACAATTATGACACAAACCTCTTCAAATTTCACCTTTCACAGACTTTAGTTTAATAATTGTGATGTTCTTGAAAGTTCTCGAGGCTTTTTTTATTTCTCAAATAATCTTGCAATAGTCCACATACTGTTTCATTAGTTTTTACCCTCATGATGCTTCTTATTGAAACTCCATCACTCCAAAAATACAATGCCCTTAAGCTACGGTCACATATACTAATAATTTGCATTCAAATTCGTCGTATTTAACAACTAGCCTTTGAAAAGAGCAGAAAATAACACTTGAGGATAGAATTCTTATTAATTGGAACTGAAATACCAAAACATAGGACAGATTTGCATACAAAGTGGAATGATTAGTTTCAAAACGAACAGATTTTCCAGTCCTGATTGGAAACAACTCGACAGAAATTAAACGGAAGAAGGTTCCTTTCAACAAACATTATAACCATTTTTTTAAACTATTCTTAACTCCAAATGCTGATCTGATTCTTTCTGACACTCAATAATATGTTCCCTTTTCGTTACAGTTTCATATTAAAAACCTGTTTTTTAACTCTTTTTAATCAACTTTTATTCAATAATCTAACAGAACTCAAAGCTAGAAAGCTAAACTTCTGACACAAGTTTGCGTTCACAATGTAGGTGAGCACTAAGAAGCGGTTTTGGAAAATTCGATCTCAGAAGGGGAAAAACGGGCTCCTACGTTAGTATGGAAAATCAGCACCCGACTAACTTCAAACTTGGTTGGTAACTCTCGAAAAGAATATCAAATAAACTCTATACCCTATTTATGCCCTGTTCTTAAAAACTAAAAAGATATTGTAGTTTGAAAATATGTATATATTCCAGAGAATTGCAAATAATTCAACAAACGAATCAATTTTTTGTGGGTTTTATGTAGGTACACAAATATAATTCATATTTATTTTATCAACATAATAGTTTTTTTGCGTTTAACATTAAACCATTAATATAAGCGTATGTACTTGTTGTTTAGATATTGTAAAACCAATTAATTAATTTTAAAATGGTTATTGCTTTAAAAACTACAGATATAACATAAATACATAAGGTTTAGGATTATTTTCTTTATCTTTACTCCAGCATTAAATATACACTTAAACGAATAAAAGAAGATTTATTGTTTTCAATTCTTAACTACTTATGTTATAGATAGTATGTCCATTTTCACTAATTTGCAGCTGAACAATTTTACAGTAAGATATATTAATCAATTGTGCATTCACTTTTATTTGTTTATATAAATATATACAGGTTTATTTGCTTAGCAAATTATGGCAAAATTAGTCTAGTTAAAAATGTACATATACAATATTATTTCAGGTTGTTTTATATTCTTAAAAACATTTTCGATTGCCATTTTTTTTTTCTTTGTGAGATTTTAATCAATTTTGTTTAACATCATTAGTTTAGTGGGTTTTGTCTGCGTTACCTCCTATTTAATTGTCAGTCAATGTATATGCGTTGCAAGCATTAGTCTGATCAGTATACGATCCTGTCTGTGCGCCCTCAACTTAAGACAATAATTTTAGTTTTGTTAGTCAAAGTGTTTGCTGCATTTTAGTAAGTGTGTTAGTATTGTGGATGATAATATAGTGAATGATTTAGGGAGGACATTGTCGAACTTATGGGTTGTCCAACTGGGTGTGATTAACAGACTGATTCTTATATAGTTAATAAAATGTCAGTCAACATTAATAAATATAATGCGCAACTTTAAGTTAGCTTAGCTCTTAAGTAGAAAGAGTTGAAGTTAATTCAGTGTTGTTGCAAATTATTTTCTGTAATAAAACTAATAATTAATTATTCTAATAATATATAAACATTAAAATAAATTTTCTTGATTTCTATATAAATTACACAGATTTGAATAACTTTATTATATTAGGCAGTGGAAAAGCAAAGAAAATGTGTACGAAGTAATCAAATAAAAGAATAAACACGCGTAGGAAATTTTCAATTAAAATACTTGTTTTTTTTTTTTTGTTTTTTTCTGTTTGTTGTTTGCTGTGTTTTTTTGTTTGTGCTTAAGCATAATTATTAGGCAACGAATAAATTTGCAACTTCTTATAAGAACAATAATAATTTATATATACGAAACACTTAAATGTCTAGACTGTGTGAGCGCGGGCGTATTGAGATTTTTTTAGGGGGTTGTGACAACTATTTGCGATTGCAGTTGTCCTTGCCACTGCTGTTAACCGCAAGCGCGACATTCTCCCGATTAGCAATACTGCTGCTATCTGCGGGAGCCTCCTCCTCATCGGCCAAAAAGTCGTCGGCCTTGTGACTAGAGGCGGGTGGCGTTAACAGGTTCTCGGGGGCACGCAATCCTGTGGCCGGCGAGGCTTGAGTGCGAGCGCGCATAGCATGCAAATTATTCTGAACCATGAGCAGTTCGTCCTGCAAATGAAAAAATGGTGAACATTAGATATAATTTCAATATGTATAGGGAATATAATAGAACCATTTAATAAACAAATTTAAAAAGTACATTTTATACAGCATTTTCTTGAGATAGGGGCAACAAATTTGGAATGATTTCATCTGAGCTAATTTCTTTTAGATTGGCGAGGGGAGCCTTTGTAATTACACGTAATTCTGTTCTTAGGCGGTCTTTTTTTACACGGTTTTGATTTAACACTTTATAAACTTCAAATATTGTTACACGTTTTATTCCATTTAGCACGATTCAAAATAACACAATACAAATAAATAAAGGCACACACACAGCTCACAAAAAGCTAGAAACAATTATTGTATGGGTCGTTACAAAGAATTATACAAAAAATGTTAAAAATGTCACTGTTAAAAATGTAGATGCCGAACGAGCAAGAGAAAGTCGAGTTTAAAATTATTTCAGTAATTAATTTTGTGTGAAAAAGAATGGCTAGAAAATGCCCAACACTTTCGGTTATCGAGCTAGAAATGGCTAGAAAAACAATTATAAGTAGTTAGAGAAAGCGTAGAAAATCCGCGGAAAATCCGCCAGATAATGCCTAGAAAATCAAAAAAATAGATAGAAAAACTCGCTAGAAAATGGCTAGAAACACAATAAAACTTGCCCTACTTGCTTGGTTATTGGTTTCGTTACACAAAAGGTTGCCGAACCAGCATTTAAAACGCTCACATAAGTTTCACTTCGCAAAAAAAGGTAGTATTGTATTCAAAAATATGAATTATTTGTTTTTAAAATTGCTGACCCCTCCATATAGTAGATATAGAATAGAAATCTCTTAACTTGCTTCGGGTACTTACATACATATCCATAGTGGTTGTGTGCGTCTGAATGATGTGCGAATCATCGGTTACAATATTGGGGCACACATGAGCTAAGCCGAAACGATTTGTGACTTGTTCGTTTTGCTCATTCACATGCAGATATGGTGCGCTTTTGCAGATGACATGGTAAAATGGTTCCATCCAGCGTGCACACGGCTGTATGATTTGCCAGTCGAGACCCGAAGAGCGTAGGGCAGTTTCGCTGTAAAAATATGATTATAAATATGATGTTTGGATAATTCAATGATTTCGTCACTCACCGACTGAATGTATGACTCATGGCTGCTGCTGCCAGCACCGAATATGAATAATTGGCCATGCATACATCGAGCGTGCAAAGATCCAATAATTGTGCTGTCTGTACGAACTCATAGGCCGAGAATTGCGGATAGATGAAGTCATCAGCGACTGGTGTTGAGGAGGAGGAGGTGGAGGCGCCTCCATGCGCCTGCCTGCCAATTTGGGCAAACGATGCCGGAGTGCGATTGTTCACATTCAATTGCATATATATACCGAGCCATCCGGCGACTGTAATTGGACTGATATCCCAGCCGAGAGCCTGCAGCAGCAGTTTCTCATTATTCAAAATATCTTGTTCCGTGCAGGCGCCATCGGTGACATAAGCAAATTCGCCGATTTTCGGAGGATAGATCTCCTCCACCTTGGCGGCTACAAACAGACAAGTGATGCCAATCAACTGCAGATGCGTCTTCTGCACCTTAGTTGCCACATGTAGGTAGCGATCGAGGTAATCGACAGCCAGATAGAATGTTTCACGATGTAGTTTGTAAACTTCGCAAACTTCGATCAACCAATCGAGAAGAATAGCGCGCATGCGTGGCTGCAGTCCCGGATGTTGCTCTAGCATGGAACTATTGCGTAAACGTGCACCTTCCTCATCCCGTTGGCACATCAGCTTCCAGACATCAGCCGCGTTTGCCCAGGAGAGTGCGGGCAGCGGACATTGTCGCAGGGAAGTTTCAACAGCAGGTGACATGCATTTGTAATTTGTGGCCATGAAGTCATCTAAGGACCTCACTTTGGGCTTTGTATTATTGTTATTATTATTATTATTGATGCTTTTATTATTTATACTGTTAACAGTACAGCCGATATTCAGAGACAAGCTTTGTTGCTGGGCTGGCGTACGTTCGCCATTTTGACTGCAATTTGTGGCTGCCGAGGAGCCCGTCGATGCTGGCGATGTGCTAGACGAATCGATTTCCTCTTCCTCTTCGTCATCGTCCTCCACTTCCTCCTCATCGTAGCCGTAATCCACGCAAGGCATATAGTTGAGCCCTGCATAATGTGTGACAATCGGCTGTTTCTGTGTGAAGCCACTACCGGTGCTGGGCGTACTATCTGGACTGTCGGGGCTATCGGGTAGCGGGCTGTGCGATGCTGTCGATAGCTCCTCGGCCCTTGAGCTGCTAATGCTAAGCAGCTCTTGGGTACTCGACTCATCGACAGCAATGGGCGATATGTATAATGACGAGGCCACTGATGAGACATTGCTTGGCGGATCGCCACCAAAGAGCGTGGGCGCCATATGCTGACGCTTAGCAGATGGTAGCTCAGCCCCAATTTCAAGATCCTGCAAATACAAGAGAATTGGTCAAAAATTTTCTAAGTCTTTGAAGAACTAATAACAGTATTTTATTTATTTTTTACTTATGTAACGATCGCTGTAGAATAACTTTTATAGGAAGTTATCTTAACAGACCCCAATTTCTAATTACAAATATGATCAACATGACGAGGCAAATCTTTATAGAATATTTATCCCCTTTGTACTTATGTATATCCGTCTGTATGAACACCAATAACTTTTGAACCATAACAGCTACGAATACCAAATATGCATTACAAGTAAATGGAAAACAAACTATATTTTATTTTTCAATATTTTCTATGGCTACTCTAGGACCGATCGCAGTAAAATAACTTTGGTAAGTGCCTCGGTGAAACAGAGTTTATTTTAGTTGACAGATTGCGATATGTAAGGGAATGTGTCTTTAAGTTATATTTCAAAACATTTTTGAAAACAAAAGTTTAATTCTCGAGCATTAGATTATAGTTATATTATATATTGTAATTATTATATTATACTGTAAAATATAATTAATTTAATTATATTATAATTATGATAAATGATTTAATTTCTCGCTTGCTGACATCTCTCATGATAATTATTGTGTCTAATGAATTAAAAATCCCTCAACAGATTACAGTTGATACTTAGAAGGCTTTCTTAGGCAAATTAATCGCGGCTTTGATTCTATTAACCGAAACCAATTACCGATCTTTGTGAAGATTACAGGTAAATAGAAAGATGTTTTTACTTGTGTTAACATCTTGGTGGATTACAATTGTAATATGGGTGTAATTATAAGCATATCTGCCGAAGATCAATGCAAAAAATAGTAGATAATGGAGAAAAGACCAAGATCAACTTGTCTAAGAATGGATCAATTGATTTTTTTTCTTTTGTGGGATTTTCCTTTCTTAATATACATATTTATATATGTATTTTTTTATTTCCATGGGAATCCTTAAATTTCTACTCGGTATATGTATAAAAGAAATCCAAAATATTTATTAAGGAAAAATTTCAAATTACCATTTCGATAAATTTGCGCTTCTGTTCCAACTTCATAATAGCATTAAAGAATTTTGATTTAAATGTAAACGAAATGAACAATGACGGGATCAGGACGATGATCAGAAACAAGATCACACGGGTATATATCAGCAGGCAGGCAGTCCCGAATCGTGTTTCGAATTAATTGGCAGACGGGCCAGACACTTGCCCAAGAATTTATGTGGGCACGGCTGTCAAAAGGTTTAATCCTGCTGCAGTTAATGGATCGCTCGACCGTACAACCGACCCGCACAATAGTGCGAAGGATGCGAAACAAAACGGGCACCACTACCACACACACACACACACGCATACACAGCAGACACCCACACGAATTATGTTCCGAAAAAGATAGCAATTATAATTTCTTTGGTTACGCTGCGGCTTCGGCTTCGGCGTGGGTGATATTCTTTTTGGACAGAGTGTGAGAGAGCAATGCGTGTTTAAAAATGTATTGCACTTTTGCTTTGTTTATTAGCAACAGCCTTTGGTTTTGTTTTCGGTTTGAATCTTGGTTGAAATTCTTTGGTATCATAAATGTTTTTTATACAATTTGTGCTACACTCTTAAAACATATTTATTGTTGTTTTGTTTTAGTTTTTTCTTTTTGTGGATATTTAACGAAAGCGCGGAGCTTGCGAAATCCGGTTCCTAAATTAGTTTTTTGCACTCTTGTTTTTTGGTTTCTTTTTTCGTAGTTTATTTGTTATTTTTCAGTCTCGTTTTTGGTAACTCAGCGACGGATCATTTTTGTGATCTCTCTGCTCTGCTCCGGGGCTACCGTTATCGTGTACCAAACGCGTTGACTTGCGCTGTGCAACTGAGCAGCGCGACCCTCGTTCCAGATCGTCGACGACGATCGGCAGTCGTTCGGTTCGCTGTTATCCTGCTGCACAACACACACACACATACACACACTCACATAGCTATACACATTTACAAAAGTAAAGTAGAGGGCAAATGCATTTGTGGATTTTTTTAGGGGTTGCTTTTGACATGCAACGCGAAAAGAGCACGGAGAATAGTTCTTTTCTCTTGCTTGCGCCAACAGTTTGCTGAAGAAGTATTGAAGGGTCTTCTCCCTGTCTTGAAGATGTCTGTTGTTGTTGTTGTTCTTGTTGTTGGGACGCGATTTGCTTGCTTTTGCATTGCATTTTTCCTTGGGTGTTTATCAACGAAATCCCAATGGTTGGTTGCGCTCGGTCTGATCCTTTAGACAAACATTTTTGTCAACTTTCAGGTAGACGGCGAAAAATCACTACCTACATCTGTCTTGGTCTATTATCGCCTATGGCTCGAGACTCTTCGGAGCAATGGCAAGCTGCAGCTTTGTTTTTTTCTTTTTTCGGGAAAAATAGTCAAGAATATTTGACCTTCTTGCTTGGATACTAAATTATCTTGCTGTCGATCGAGGCTGAGATGTTGTGTATAGGGCGAGGCTAAAGCCAAAACTGGAGCGTAGCAGCTGTGCATGCAATTTTGAAATCTTTCTAAATTATGGAAATATTCATGGATCATTTAAGCCCAATTCCAGAAATTAAACAGCTACCCTGGCATTTTCCGTTTTCTTAATCTGACAGACTGCCTAAAAGCTGCTAAGCTCTCCTACCCTACCTCTACCTAGAAAAATCTGTCAATCTCACATCTCGCACATCATAAACCTTAACGACCATATACCCTTGGCAACTATTCAGTTAGAGATGATCACGTGAATGCTCACGAGAAGTTTAAATTGAAGAAAGAAATTTTACAATTTTAAATGCATGGTGTTGAAAATTAAATCGCAAGAATATAGACTGATTGACTGGAAATGATTACAAAAAGTGAAGTTTTAGAGAGCAATATCTGTTTGACAGCAGTGTCTACTGTTTATTATAAGCTTAAATCGGCGAAGAATTGCTTTTGCCTCTACTGAATACGGTTCTTCATGCTGTAGAGCCATTATTCCAGCACAGAAAGTAGTTGGGAAGCATAAAAAAACTTTTACAAAACTTTTTACTGCTCTTAAACAATATGTTTTCAAAAAAGATATATTTCTATATATATGGAGTTTAGTTTAATTTAATAAACAATCAATACTTAACTGTTATTAAAAAAAAATGTAATGTATTTGTATAATTTGGAGTTATTGGAAGTCTTATTATAATTTTCCCCTCACTCTCTGCTCACGACAAACTCACGCACTCATCTCTAATGCCAAGAGACATGCAGCTCATTATATATTTTCACATAATTTGTTCAGAAAAGATGTGCCAAAAAATACGCAGGAAAATAAGGGAAAAACTTTACGATATTTATGTGACACTTTTAATTGTTTGAGTAGGTTTGCGCGTTCCCCTCCAAAGCAAAGCCCCGGACAACAAACAGACAGATAGTGAAATAAATTTGCAGAGGCATAATAGTTAAGCGCGTGGTGTTGGTGTGTAGTTGTGTGCATGTGAGTGTGTGTGTGCATGACAAATTTAATTTCTTATTCTTAGAGAAAATGCAACCCTCGATAGGTAGAAGAAAAGATGACACAGTTTGAGATTTGAATGGACATATGTCATAAAGTAGCAGAAACGGTCAAGCGATGCAATACAATATACAATTAAAATCAAAGCGTGCAATGACAGCACAGCGTCTTAGGGATTGTTCCTGATCTCCCTTTTCTACTACTATATTCGCCGCTACTTGGTGCGTGCTGTAGGTCCAGCAAGGCGCTACAGCAGCTGCCGCATCTGTCTGCCCGTCTGGTCAAGCGTAGCGCAACAATTTCTTGGCAAATAAATAAAAATTTTCCCTTTACGACACTATTTCCTATACAGCAGCAAATGAACCCATATATGTGCTCGTATGTATGATTGACTGAACGGATATACAAATACAGATACAGATACCAGCAATTTACTCAACTGCATGAGTTTACTGAGCTGTAAACTGGACTAAAGTTTAATTAGTTTGGCTGCAAGTCCAAAGTTTGTTTATGAGGGGAGGTTGCCTGTCAGCGTGAAAAAGGTTAAACCAGCTTGACAAGGCAGTCGCCGGCAAAAAACTTGCTGGATCTATGGAATGCTGCAAAACCAGCACTACATACATGTACTTAGTTTTGGATAATTACTAATGCATTTTTAGCTCAAAAATGTAATCAAATAATTGTAATGTAGTTATAAAATAATAGCTTAAATAGTTTGAAGTAGAATTTGTAGTAAGTACAAAATTTTAATTCTGTAAATAGATAATGTATTTTTAGATATTTTTGTAGTTTCTATAAGCTTTTTATTCTCTAGTTTTATTTAGTTTAAGTTCTCAATTTTTTTTTTTGTTTTTTGATTTATTTATTTTATACGACAGCTTTCTTTGTAGATAAAATTAATAAAAAACAATTATCAATTTTTTCATATGATTCCTAACAATAGTTGATAAATAAAAACAAATAAAAATACTTTTGAAAATGTAATAAAATGTTATTCTATACAGAAAAAAACAAATAATTATCGTATTCTTTCTGTTTAAAGCTAGTCTTATGAAAAAACAAATATTTTGTACTAACTTTTTAGCCCGTTTTCCCCATTGGAGTACAAATTCTCCAAAAACCACCTTTAGTGCTGAGAAAGCATAATTATGTTCAAATTAAGCTTCGTAACTCTTGCCAGCCAGGCCAATTTCTGATATATTTATATAAACATAACATCTTTATAAAATAAAAGAGCGCTTTTGAGCTAAAAACTTTCATTTGCTGTACAGAATTTCTTTCCTTTCATTCAACCATTCAATTTCAGAATTGAGGGTACCTCAAATGATAGTGCAGTTGCTAAATCACAAAGAGAAATCGAGTGCCACCAAACCAAATGATTCATCTTAAGCCAAAGATCATCTTTATGCAGCCTATACCCAGCAAGGCACCCAAACAACACACTCGAATGTTGTGTCCCGAAATACTTTGCTGACCCTATTTTAATTATGTTTTTGTC